GTTTTGTAACAACAATTTTGTGCTTTTTTGTGTCGGAATGACTATTTTTCTTAGTCATTCATTGTGTCACAAATATGTTAACTATGCATATATTTTGCTTGTACTTTATACGGAACACTCTTCAAATTTATTTGGACCTGAAGTTGTAACTTATAACATGCATGGACAAGTGTATTCAGCACAAGATACCAAACAATATGGTCCAATAGACAATATTTCAGCCTTCCCTTTTGAAAATTATATATCAAATCTTAAGAGACTTGTAAGAAAACCACACTTACCTTTGCAACAAGTTTTAAGAAGGCTATCAGAACATCATCTTGCAGAGTCAATCAATAGTCAAACTAATAGCACACTTTTTCAGTTAATAAAAGAACATTTTGATGGACCTTTGTGCAATAGTGAAAACATAAATTTGCAGACTCAACACAATGAGCTCTATACTAATAAATTTTGTATTAAAGTTTCGCAAGGTGACAGTTGTTTTAAAATAACCACTGGCTCTATAGTTCTAGTTAAAAATATTTTTAAAAGTTGTTGTGGTCAAATTTATCTAGTGTGCAGCAATTTTGATAGTGTTGAGAATTTTTTCACCTACCCATGCAACTCAGATACCATTGATATTTTTATGGTATCTTATTTAGGTAAGCATCTTTCATATGTTTTATTATCAGAAATAAAACAAAAATTTGTTTTACTGCCTTACAAAGCTTACTTTGTCACTATACCTTTGCTAGTTGAATAAGTTTATTTTTAATCTTATATTGCACATGCTTTGACTATCCTTGACTTAGAGACATGTTCAACTGTTTTTCTTAACAAATTGTAATAAGTTTGTTTTAATAGGTTTAGTATTTTAATAGCAATATATGAAGATTTTGTTATCAATATCCGGTGTAAGCAATTTTGATTTCATATGCCGTTCTAAGTATTATTTAAAATATAATTGGAGCTGAAATTTTTTTTTTTTAGATTATGAATTATTCATATATTTTGAAAAATTGTTATTTTGTTTAGTTATTAGTTAATACTAGTTATATATATATATATATATATATATATATATATATATATATATATATATATATATGTATATATATATATATATATATATATATGTATGTATATATATATATAAATATATTTATATATATATACATATATATACATATATATATATATATATATATATATATATATAAATATATTTATATATATATACATATATATACATATATACATATATATATATATATATATATATATATATATATATATATATATATATATACATATATACATATATATATATATATATATATATATATATATATATATATATATATATATATATATATATATATAGTTGTAGTAGTAGTAGTAGTAGTAGTAGTAGTAGTAGTAGTAGTAGTAGTAGTAGTAGTAGAAGTAGTAGCAGAGTAGTAGTAGTAGTAGTAGTAGTTGTTGTAGTAGTAGTAGTAGTAGTAGTAGTAGTAGTAGTAGTAGTAGTAGTAGTAGTAGTAGTAGTAGAGTAGTAGTAGAAGTAGTAGCAGAGTAGTAGTAGTAGTAGTAGTAGTTGTTGTAGTAGTAGTAGTAGTAGTAGTAGTAGTAGTAGTAGTAGTAGTAGTAGTAGTAGTAGTAGTAGTAGTAGTAGTAGTAGTAGTAGTAGTGGTAGTAGTAGTAGTAGTAGTAGTAGAGTAGTAGTAGAAGTTGTAGCAGAGTAGTAGTAGTAGTAGTAGTAGTAGTAGTAGTAGTAGTAGTAGTGGTAGTAGTAATAGTAGTAGTAGTAGTAGTAGTAGAGTAGTAGTAGAAGTAGTAGCAGAGTAGTAGTAGTAGTAGTAGTAGTAGTAGTAGTAGTAGTAGTAGTAGAGTAGTAGTAGAAGTAGTAGCAGAGTAGTAGTAGTAGTAGTAGTAGTTGTTGTAGTAGTAGTAGTAGTAGTAGTAGTAGTAGTAGTAGTAGTAGTAGTAGTAGTAGTAGTAGTAGTAGTAGTAGTAGTAGTAGTAGTAGTAGTAGTAGTAGTAGTAGTAGTAGTAGTAGTAGTAGTAGTAGTAGTAGTAGTAGTAGTAGTAGTAGTAGTAGTAGTAGTAGTAGTAGTAGTAGTAGTAGTAGTAGTAGTAGTAGTAGTAGTAGTAGTAGTAGTAGTAGTAGTAGTAGTAGTAGTAGTAGTAGTAGTAGTAGTAGTAGTAGAATATTTTGTGGAAGAATTTATTCCAATTTCTAAAAAAGTTAAATTGTTGACACCAGCTCCGGTTACGCTAAAAATATTTTCCTCTTGAATATTTATGCAACTTACATCATCAAAATCTGTGCACAAATGCTAACTCCACTACTTTCATTCACGCCTTCGGCAATAAAATCTAAAACAAATCTTATAGATGAGGAGCAGAGATCACAAGAAATGTTGCAATCGGCTGTGACAATCAAAATAGTTTCAATGTTAGTAGAACATAAAGAGGATGTGGCAAGTCTGAGACAAGTGGTTGCATACAACACAGCCATGCCTCAGAATGTTGCTAATGGTGGAGTTCATGATGATGACCAAAACATTTTTGATATTCTTAAACTTTCCTTATGCAATATGGCTCAGTTATTGCAACTTGAAAAAACACTTGAAAATGAAAAAATAACAATAAAAAAGCTTGTAAGTTGCTCATTCATTTAACTGATCTTAATTTTTACACTTTATTTTTTTAATATTTATTTTGTTATTTAAAAGAAAATATAAAGTTTCTATTGGTTTATTGAAGTTCACCACATTGTGTTTAGCATTAAAATTTTGCAACTCAAGAAAATTTCAATGCTAAACACATTTAATCTTTATTTCTCTTTTCTAAAACTAAATTAGCCGTAAGAAAGCAAAAGTTTGAAAATTAAAATCTAAATTTTTAATTAAAATAAATGTGTGTTGTAAAAAAAAAATGTATGTTGTAAATTTGTAAATAAATGTATGTTGCCGGCCCGGGCGTCATCTCAATACCGATGTCAACATATTAATCCTTGATAATATTTACTGTATGGCAGGGTGCCCCTTCTTGCATGTAAATGCAGTACTCATCAGTAAACCAGCTCTCTAATTAATGAATCAGATATCATGCTCTATATCATGAACTTAGTCGGATATTTGACATTCTGCATCAGACACTGTGGAAGAAATTCTTCTCTTGGTCTTCTTCTTACATATTGACATACTTAACGCAATGCTCTGAGTCACCCCACATCTTAAAGGTACCTGACATTGTGTAAGCTCTAGTAAACCTTAATTTGACCACTTTACCATTGCTACTAAAATAAATAATTGAAACAATTAAACAATAAAGATAATGTTAATTTTGTACATGAAGTTAACGTTTTGGTTTCAAGACCTCAAATCAAGTCAATTTGGTGGCCTGACTGCTTGCAAAATAATCCCTGCTTAATTGCAAATAATTGAGAAAAATGAATAATCAAACCTAAGAACATTAATAATTTATTTTTTAAATTTTTAAATCTTTTAAAATTTTAAAAGTACAACTTATTATTTAAATTTTTTAAATTTTAAAAGTACAAAATCTAATATGCAGGCGCTCCACAAGAATGTCCCAGCAATGATATAAAGTACACTACTTATTTACTATAATGCATTGTAATGATAAAAAGTTCAAGTCAATTCTAATTTTGATATTTTTCTCAATTATAGTAATAGTTTGTGCAGTACTGTATATACATTAAAGTTATACGCCAGTATTTATACATATATCTGTGTGTGTCTGTGTGTCTGTGTGTGTGTGTGCGACTGTGTTTTTATATATATATTGTCGAAATATAGTAAAACAAAGTATATATATATATATATATATATATATATATATATATGCATATATGCATATACATACATATATATATATATATATATATATATATATATATATATATATATATATATATATATATATATATATATACATAGTATATATATATATATATATATATATATATATATATATATATATATATATATATATATATATATATATATATACACATATATATATATATAAATATATATATAAATATATATATAAATGCTCGTAGAAATTGAAGTAATTTTTTTTTTTTTTTTTTAGTGTAATTTATTTCGCCGTTAAAAAATGTTTACATTGCATATAAATTTATATAAATTGATGGCTGGAGCAAGAAGAAGGCACATTTCGCCTTATCGTCGAGCGTAAGTTGTAATATTTTTTCAGCGGTAATATATAATGCTCAAAAACAAAACAGCTGAAAAATTAATAAACAAATAAATAAATTTAAAAATGACAAAGAAAAAAACCTTTTTTTCTTTGTATCCATGCAATGTATTTTTATGCACAAAACAAAACTCTACTATACATTGTTTACAGCCAAATAATTAAAAAAAAGATGCGAAAAACTATATCATAAATATTATCTAAAAAGTAAAGGAAAAATGTTGGGCTAAATAAAATGTTACAGATTGTTGACCTTTAAATTAAAAATTAAATCTAAAATTAAATTTAAAAAAATCTAAAAAGTGGAGGCACAAAATTTTAATTTAAAATAAAAAAAAAAATCTTTCTAATAATGTTTTTGCAAATTTAAAATTATATATATATATATATATATATATATATATATATATATATATATATATATATATATATATATATATATATATATATATATATATATATACATATATATATATATATATATATATATATATATATATATATATATATATATGTATATATATATATATATATACATAAAAATATATATATATATATTTATATATATATATATATTTATGTATATATATATATATATATATATATATATATATATATATATATATATATATATATATATATGTATATATATATATATATATACATATATATATATATATATATATATATATATATATATATATATATATATATATATATATATATATATATATATATATATATATATATATATACATTCATATTTATATAATTTAGTGAAAAAAAATTTCAGAAACTAAATTACATGTTTTTATACAAATTTTAGTGCGTTCTTCTTTTGGTAATAAAAAGTATCCTGTGAACTTTGAAATTACTTCACATAAAACTTTAGAGTGCATTTCTAATCTATTTTCTAAAACGGATGCGGTTGGTCTGTTACTTGGCAGATTTTCTAAGCAACTATTAATTAGTTTTTCAAACATTAGAGGTTTTATACTAAGCTCTATTTTCCTATTTGCAAATAAATGTCTTTGACCAGTTATTAGGTGGTACATTGTCAATCCAAACGAATAAATGTCAACTTTTTCATTATAGTTTCCTGTTTGAAACTCATTTGGCATGTATGGTATTGGTCCGATCACAGTATGATTTTGAAACTTATCTTGCAGTCTAGCGATCCCCATGTCACCAATTTTCGCTACATAGTTTTTAGTTATAAATATGTTGTCAGGTCGAATATCTCTGTGTATAAAATTTTTTTCGTGGATTCTTTTCATACCTGATGCTATATTGCATGCTATAGACACTCTGCATCTATATGATAAGTTCGGCTCTTTTTTTAAAAGGTCAGACAAACTTCCTTTCTCCATATATTCTGTGAGCAAGTAAAACGTTTTTATGTTTTTATTGCTCATCACACAGCTGCCGTATGCTTTAATGACATAACTGCTATTAATTTCGTTATACCCAAGTACTTCACGAATAAAACTTTTATACAAACTGTCTACGCTTAAGTTCATAAATAAATGAACAATATTCCATTCAAATATTTTGCAAACAACTATTTTGTTCTTTGAAATTATTCTTGCTTTGTGTGCAGTACCAAACGCACCATTGCCTAAACGATCCAAAAGTTCAATGTCAGATGAGCTCACATTTCGAATGCTGTAACTGACTAATACGGGATGTTCTATCTTATGATTACCAATACCTTCTTTTTTTGTAAAGCATTTATAGCACAAGTCGAAATCATTGCATTCGTCGCATTTGAATCGCAAGCCAAAAATTGGATGAGAATTGCAGCCATCGCAAGTTGCTTCGTGTTCCACTCCGTTAAACTTAGTTATAAATTGCTCAAGCGTAACACTTTCATTCTCAATCTCTTCACCAAATATTTCTTTTGGTCCACTGTATCTAACCATTGGATGACTTTTGACATGTGGAAAAGTAATCTTTCTCGATTCAAAGCACACTCCACAGAGATCATAGTCTTTGCACACTAAACATTTATAACGGTCGACTACAAAATCATTATGTTTGCAAGCACTGCATGTAACATTTTTATGAGAAGGACTATTTATGCTAAAATATCCATACTTGTTCATGCCAAGGAAAACATGGTGAACTAAGTCATTAATAATGTCATTGAAGTTATTCATTACCTTTTCATTATTGTCATTGTCTGGTTTCAGATCATTAGTGAAGTCGTTTGATAGATTAGATTTTTTATCAGCTTTGTTTAAAACTAGAGCAACTGATAAGTCTGGTGTTGTACTCTGTGCATTACTCTCAGTATTCTTTTTTTGTTTTTCAGTGCTACTACTCATTGCTTAATAAATGTAGCTTATCTTTTGTAAATTTTGAATAATTTGCGCTTGAACTATATCTAATAAAAGATTAGAAGATATGTAATAAAATATTAAAAATATATGCCTAATGATCTTTACATCAACAGTAAAAATAACTATTTAAATAATTACAAAAAAAAAATAATAATAAAAAATAAAACAGATATTATTATTATATTTCATCGAACATTGAAATAAGAGCAAAAAATATTTATATAAAAAACTAGACAAAGCATACTAAGAATCTATCGTAATGTAAATGCTTTATTTAAAATTGTCAAAGAAAAAAAAAATATTGATAGTTTAAGTTACAATAAAAAACCCAAATAAACCAGTGTATTTAATAATTTATCACTACACCTTCTTAGGATGTATTTCAAAAGACGATGCTTATAAATTTGAAACGTAAGATGTAATTGAGAATATTTTGTAGTTAAGAAGTATAAGATGTAATAAAGAAAATAAGAGTTGTATTTAAGAAACGTAAAATGTAATTCAGAAATGAATGTTTGAATATTGTAATTAGGATATTGTAAAATGAATTCTATTTCTCGATAGTTGCTATATAGTTCAAATTATACAATAATATACAAAGATCTTTGTTTTATAACCTTTTAGACTTGGTTTACCTTGTTGTTTAAGGCTGTCTTCGCCTCTGGCTAAGCTAACAAAATGGGTTGTTTTTAAATAAATAGTAACATATTATAAATAAAATGAAAAAGTGATAAAAAGAACTTCGACAATATAGTGGTAACTTAAAAAAATTGACTGAGTGTTAATTGCAACCTCCATTTTTTTAGTTCAGTTCAGCATCCAGATGAATATTGAATAAAACATTCGCAGTTTATTTACAAAAAATAGAGACTTAAATAAGGTTTAAACATTAAAAATTACTAAAATTTATTGAAACTCGGTGCAAAAAGTGCCGTCGTATTCAGTTCAGGACGCGTACAACCACCTCCCTTTAAGGTATTTTTTTGACGCAGAAACAGTACTCTATAAACATTGCGCTCCAAAATCCCATCATTTAATATAGTTTAACTATGATTCGTTTTTTTAACGATACTTTTAATTTTGGACCAGATTGTTTTGACTGGGTTTAATATTGGAGTACCAAGTCCCAAATGTACTCCAAACTGACTAACTGACCTGGAGAACACCCATCCCAAACAATAGCTAGATTCGACTTTGACTGCTAAGACAATTATATCTCTAAGCGATTTATGGATGTTATGCTTTTGTGAAACATCAACTAATTACAAGAATCTTATCTATTCACGAAATTGTCATTTCATTAAACACATTCAACAATTCTTCTTTAACATTTAGTAAAGATAAAACACAACGTATTCTTTCAGTTTGTTGGTTGTATGTACTTCATGTCGACAAGCTAAAGAAGTTGAATGTTATTGTTTCAAATTGGATGTAAGAAAAAAATTGCAAATACATCTTGAAAAGGTGCAGTAAAAATGAAAAGAAAATTTAAAACATTCTGAGTAAAATTTAATATACTTTGGTACAAAGTATTATACCGTTACTAAGCCGTTTGATGTTGGTAAGGTCAGTTTTTACTGTACACATATATCATTTTTTTAAACATTTTTGGACTAAAATGTTTCAGTTTGTGAACTGGTCTTTAGTTAAAAAAATTTAACACATTCTGAGTAAAATTTAATATACTTTGGTACAAAGTATTATACCATTACTGAGCCGTTTGATGTTGGTAAGGTCAGTTTTTACCTTACATATATATCATTTTTTTAAACATTTTTGGACTAAAATGTTTCAGTTTGTGAACTGGTCTTTAGTTCATTTAGTATTAAATAAATATTTAAACTAAATTTATTAACATATGTTTTTAATTTTGTTATATTGTTTCTGGCTCAGTTGGTTAAAGTGTCAAAAGAAATGTTAAAACCTTATGTTAATAATACAAAAAAAAGTTTTGTACTTGTGTCCTTTTCAAAATTTTTCAATTAATCATGTTATCAAATTTTAAAACCTTAATCTGAACAACGTGCGAACGGACGTGTTTTGAGTTTACAGAGAAGTTAACCAAAACAAAATAATAATAGTAATAGTAGTAATAGTAGTAACAACAGTAGTAGTAGTAGTAGTAGTAGTAGTAGTAGTAGTAGTAGTAGTAGTAGTAGTAGTAGTAGTAGTAGTAGTAGTAGTAGTAGTAGTAGTAGTAGTAGTGGTAGTAGTAGTAATAGTAGTAGTAGTAGTAGTAGTAGTAGTAGTAGTAGTAGTAGTAGTAGTAGTAGTAGTAGTAGTAATAGTAGTAGTAGTAGTAGTAGTAGTAGTAGTAGTAGTAGTAGTAGTAGTAGTAGTAGTAGTAGTAGTAGTAGTAGTAGTAGTAGTAGTAGTAGTAGTAGTAGTAGTAGTAGTAGTAGTAGTAGTAGTAATTGTTGTAATTGCAGCGTTAGTGCCCTCTTCGAAAACACACTAAAACATTTATCAAGTTTTACAGCTTGACTTTAACTTGAAAACTGCATTGCGGTAGCATCTCCTTAATTTCGATATATAGCATTTATTTCTGTTTAAAAAATATTTACATAGTTTTATAATTTGTCATAGTCATTGCATCAGCGTAACTGAATGAAAAATGCTCAAAATTTCTGAAGGAAAAAGCCGTGATTTGAGTCCTACTACTTGCGTCTTTTTTTTTTTTTTTTTTTGATTATTTTAAAATACAAAATACTTCTGAATTTTATAGAGATTATGTATTAACATTTGTAAAGATATTTTAAGCTTTAAAAAACAAAAAGATTTTTAAAAAAGCTAAAATTCTAAAAAAAGGGAAGAGGGAAGTCGTTGCGTATGAGTCATGATTAATTACTTATGTTATTTTTATTTTTTATTTTTTCTGTTTATTTGTTAAATGTGTTTTTATTAAAAATATAATTGAAAATTCTAATTTTGTGTTTAAGTTAAACGTTTTTATTGAATTTATTGTTTTTAAAAACAGTTAAAAGTTAAAAATATATATTATTGTTATTATAAGAGCAACTTTGAGTTTTACAGATATTTTACCACGCCCCCGTTAAACCTTTTAAAACAAGGACGCAAAAACAACCGAATTAAGAAATCATCCATAAATTACGCAAAGCTAGATTTCACAAATCAAAAAACAAAAAATATCAAAATTTTCTCTCGCTAAGTCATAAGCTTAATCAAAAATCAAAATAGCTGATTAAGTTTAATAAAAATTACCACATGAAAGAACATAAGATCTTCTAAGACCTTCTACTTTTTTAAAAACTAATTTAGCCTTGCTAATTTATGTAAATTATGGACGATCCCTTAGCATTTTATAGTCTATAGTTTTTTAAGGTTGAAGATTTTCTTAGTTCTGCCATTTGTATAGCGTTGCTTCAAAAGAAACATCTGTAGGTGTAAACGTCTTTAGCAAATGTTGAGTTTGCTGAAAGTGTGGAACAACCGTGTGTAGTAAATGTATTTTTAATGTCTAAAAATAGGAAACGTTTTTTTACTATGTTGTTATTTATTTTTATATATCTACAATTATAATAGATATATACTGTAATAAACATTTTGCAATGTTGTTTTGGAGGATAAAATAAAATAAAGGGATAAAATAAAATAAAGGGCTGCCAAGAGGGAGGGGTAATTGAAGTAGTTTGCCCCGGGCATCACAGTCTATGGGGCATTACAATGCCTTAAAAAAAAATTATTGTAATGATAAAACATTAAGCTGATAACATATTCAAAGCTTAAGCAAACTTTGTATGATAACTTCATTCTCCTTTCAAACTTTGTTTAGATTAGAAATAGAATAATTATTACTTTTCAAGGTTTTCATTTTCTATTTGAACGCACACATTTTCATCGGTCTTTTGTTTGCTTAATAAAGTAAAGATTATTTTTTTATTTAACGGCATGCAAAAGTTCTTTTGGAGATGAAACAAAATCGGAGATAAAACAAAGCGGTGGAAAGTAATTTTATAATGCATTCTTGATGTCATAATTTTTCATGAAATTTAGCGTTTAGGAGTATAAATATTGTTTTTAAATTTTAAATTTTGTTTTGCATTAATTTATTTATAATCTAAAAATCAAAATTATTAGTTTTAATTGGATAAAAATAAGGATTACTATTTTTGATAATTTTTATTTTTCTATTAGAATTAGTGTTCAAAATTGGGAATGGAAACATCTTGGAGTTTTTTGATAAGAATCAAGAAGAAAAGCGTATGCAAGCTTATTACTTATCCTGAAAATCGCAGAATGAATTGATTAGGTATAACGGTTATAGAAGATATTTGAGAAATCAAAAAATCCATATGTTCGACCATCGTCACGGAGAGCACTTCCGATTCGTCCCACAGCGGTCAATTTACTCTCATTTTTCGTCTTTTGTATTTCAGTGATAAACATCTGTGGAATGAAAAAAGAAAGGTTCAAAGAAAGGTTTCTTTAACTAGAATTACTTAAAAAGAAGAAAAGATCTGATATAACAAAGTTGATATTGAATGAATTGGAAGAGATTGAGTTCGACAAAATAAATTGTTGTGGTCAAGGCTACGACAATAGCGCTAATATGGTAGGTATTTGCAATAGAGTTCAAGCTTGGATTAGGCAGAATAATCAATAAGCAATTTTCATTCCTTGCTCTGCTCACAATTTGAACTTATGTGCAGTAAATGCTATTGAATCATCATCTTCAGCTAAATTCTATTTAGGAAATATTCAAAAGCTATACAATTTGTTCAGTTGCAGCCCAGATCGTTAAAAATTTTTTTAGGAGAAAACAGGCTAATCAATAAACAAATTTTCTATTACACAATGGAGCCTATGGTTTGGAGCAGCCAAGTCACTAGCAAAAAAGATCTTCAAATTATTACGTCGTCCGAAAAAGTTAGACCTTCCAGCTTAAAGTGGTAATAAAGTGCATTATTTAACTAAACAGACAAATTTTTTTGAATTTTTCATTTTCACTACTTCTTGGTTTACATGTTTGATGGTAGTTAACAATGTGAGTCTTCAGCTTCTGTTCACTTAACTCACTCTCGATGATGTAGTAAAGATTCTGAACTGGCCTTTTGGCCAATCTGGATCGAATCCTTTTGTCTTGGGACCTAATTATACCTGATAGAGGCAATAGAAGTTGCAATGATCTTGCAATTTAATGAAATTAAATTTCATTAAATTTCTTTGGACTTCAAATAGATAATCAATGAATCAATTAAAAAACTTATTACAAATAAATTCTTACTTGCTAAACAATTTAATCAGTATTTTGTTGTTTAACCCTGACGTACTTTGTTAATGTAGGTTCTAACTTAGTATCAAAAATAGAAACCACAAAAGTAAAATTTGCATCTTTTTTAAATTCTAATAATACCAACGTAATGGACAATGATGAACATACGGAAAGAGAACTGTTGGGTTAAACGTTTTTGTTAAAACCTAAAAAAAGTTTAGAATATGATGATATCAGTAGTCATGTCATTATAAAATCAATAAAATATATAACTATTCCACATTGCAAAATTTTAATTTATTTTTAAAACAAGGCGTTTGTCCTGAAAAACTTAAAATTATAAAAGTTGTACCAATTTCCAAATTTGGTGACGTTTCAAACGTTGTAAACTATAGACCAATCTTAGTTCTTCCTTGTGTCTCAAAGTTACTGGAAAGAATTATGTACAATAGACTTGATTCCTTTCTAAATAGTAATAATATTTTTTACAGCAAGCAATTCTGATTTAAGTCAAGAAATTCGACTGACCATGCCATTATTTACCTTATTTATGACATACTTAAAGCGTTTCATGAAAAAATTTATACTGTAGGAGCTTTAACAGATCTCAGCAAAGCGTTTGACACAGTTGATCATAACATTCTTCTTACTAAACTAAAACATTATGGCATAAAAAACTCAAACACTGATAGGTTTAAAAGTTACTTAACAAATAGAAAACAATATATATCGTATAACGAAGGAAAATAAAAAATATATGACTGTAACATGCAGTGCTCCTCAAGGATCAATACTTGGAACACTACTCTTTCTTGTTTATATAAACAACTTACATAGAATTTCTAATAATTAACTTTAATTTTATTTGCCGATAACACAAACTTGTTTTAATTTAGTAACAACATTGAATCATTATTTGAAACAGTCAAAAGGAACTCACAAATTTAACTGAATGGTTCAAGTCGAATAAACTATCCTTAAACATAAGTAAAACCGAATACACTTTTTTTCATAGACTCCACAAAAAAATATTATCTTTTTATTGATAATTTTAATATAAAAAGAGACCAATCGTTGGCGTTCTTAGGATTATTTCTAGACGAAAATCTTTCATAACGTGAACACATAAGTGCAATAGAAAACAAAAAATCAAAAAACATCGGCCTATTATATAAAGCTAAAAGGTTTTTAAACCAAAACTGTTCAAAAAATAAGAACTTTTCATTTATCCACAGCTACCTTAATTATGGGAATATTGCTTGGTGCAGCACCAACACAACCAAGACAAAAAAACTATACAGTAAACAAAAACATGCTATACGAATTATTTCAAACGTAAACAGCTAAACGCCCTCTAAAGGTTTATTTAATAAACTAAATATACTCAATGCTTATCAACTAAACATTTATCAGATACTTATGTTAAAACTTGATAACAAAATGACGCTTCAATTAACAAAATAAATCATGTTTACTCTACTAGATTTTCAAATCAAAACTACATTCAACCTAAAACCTATTATACGGCCACCATATTCTCTATTGCAAATAAAGGACCCAAATTATGGAATTCTGAATTTAATATCAAAGCTACTGCTTCTTTTCACAAATTTAAAATAAAACTTAAACAAAAACTTCATACTATTTACAAAGAATTAAGTTATTTCTAAAACTTTTTTTTTTTAATTTTTAATTTATTTATTTTTCTTTCTTTCTTTTAACTTTACTTATCTTCTTTTTTATTATTTTCTGGTTTTTATTATATATATATATATATATATATATATATATATATATATATATATATATATATATATATATATTATTATTATTATTATTATTATTATTATTACTCATCTTTTTTATTTTCTTTATGCGAATAAGCCACCTGGTTTACCTTTTTCTGCTCTTGTTATTATTAACTTAATTAGTGTAAAAAACAACTCTTAATCCTATTAATAATTATTAATTAACAATCAATGTAATTATCTTAATAATGAATAGCCGAATGAATATTATTATTAATGCGCATAGTTACGCGTATTGTTTTATAGTTACGGTACGGTTCTGTATCTGTAAAATACACTTTTTAAGTAGTTTCTAGACTTTTCTTTACCGCGTGCTTTCTTAAAGATTTCCTTTCAACCTTTCATGGTACGAGTTCAAAATGTCTAAGTTGACATTAAGTAGATAACAATTATAGTGGAGGGAGTAAGTTTAAAAGCATTTTTAAATTTTTAAAAACAAATAAAAATACTTTTCAATATATATCTGTTTTCTTTGAGGTAGAATTAAAGTTTCAGTTTTTTAAAACTTTAAATTAACTTTACAATATTAAAATGGTGTAAACGAACTTAAACGAATTTTTGTAGATGAATTTAATCCTCAAAGGTTAAATTTTTTTTATTATTGAAGAAATTGAACTAGATTTAAGAATGAGTTAACTTAAATGTTTGTTTGTTTTTGTATTTAGATGATGACAATATTGAAGCAAGTAAGTTAAAAAGCATTTTTAAATTTTTAAAAAGAAATAAAAATACTTTTCAATATATATCTGTTTTCTTTGAGGTAGATTTAAAGTTTCAGGTTTTTAAAATCATATATATTTTAAAATCATATATATAAATCGTATATCTTTGTTTTTCTATTTAGACGTTGGTAATAATATTGAAACAAGTAAGTTATAAAGCATTTTTAAATTTTTAAAAAGAAATAAAAATACTTTTTATTATATATCTGTTTTCTTCGAGGTAGATTTAAAATTTCAGGTTTTTTAAATCATATATATTATAAGATTTAAGAATGAGTCGACTTAAATGTTTGTTTGTTTTTCTATTTAGACGTTGGTGATAATATTGAAACAAGTAAGTTATAAAGCATTTTTAAATTTTTAAAAAGAAATACTTTTCAATATATATCTGTTTTCTTCGAGGTAGATTTAAAATTTCAGGTTTTTAAAATCATATATATTATAATACTAAATTCTTTTTTACTTTAAAAATATCTATATTATAGTTACACTGAGTCGTAGGAAAAAAATTAAAGTTTATTAATAAGGTAGTAGATTATTAGAGTAGATTATATTGTTTGATCTATTAATTAACCTAATAACGTACTTAAAGTGAAAATTTATTTTGGTTGTTTGTTTGTTAAAATTTAGTTAGAGTTTATTTAAAATTTAAGTTCTAATTGTAACTTTAGATTCCTTATCATTCAAAGAATACAAAAATTACCGCTCCCAACACCCGGGACCTCTCTCAGAGAGGTCCTTCAAAAAATGGAAAAATCATGGCGGAATGGATGAGCCCTCCTTTAAATGGAGGGCTCATCCATACCGGGGTGTTGGGAGACACCGAAGAAAAAACAGCAACCAAAAGGTTGTAAATGTCTTCTATCAGTAGAGATATTTATGACTTTTGAGTTGCTGCTTTTTCTTCGGTTTTTTTTTTTTTTTTAATTTTTTATTTTTTTAATTTGGTGTTTTTTTTTTATTTTATAATTTTTTTTTTAATATATATTACGTTGTATATATGATTTTTTTTGATCTATTTTAATGAAAATTTTAATTGTTTTCTCATTAATTAAACCTGACTTCAAATTTTAAGCCCTCTTAAATACCCCTCCCTAAAATCTAAAGTTGAAAGTTCAATTGATTCATTATCCAATTATCATAGTATAATGATGCTGCATTCTTTTGTTAAAAACAATTATTTGGTATGTTTCATTTATTGAACTCACTGCTTTTAAAATATACCAAAACCCAAAGCAATATATTTAGCTATATAAATACAATTTATTTATCTTGATTCCATTCTTCATCTTTTTCGTTTATAGTTTGGCTCCTTGAAGCATTTTATGTTTTGCTTTTTTTATTATGAGTATTTTAAATCCGTTGTGATGTCTTTTAGATTAAACTAAAGTTTACTAAAAGCCAACATAAAAATTACGTTTTTGAACAACACCAAAAGAACAGTTGCATCCTTACAGCAACTGCTGCAGTATCACAATAGGTTACCAAAAGCAGGTATACTGTTTTCCAGTTGTTGTTGTTTTTTTCATATATATCTACTTATCTATATAATACTATAGTACAATTGTTTATATCTCATTCTTTTTTTTTTATCTTTATCTTTAAGTGTTATTAATTTTATTCTTTGAATGAGATTAGTTAAACAAGTCGGCTTTCCATTAAAGATATTGGTTTTATAATTGAACACCTTTGGCAAAATGCTTACAAAATTAGGTAGTTTTTAAAAATCTGTTTTCTATTTAATACACCTTTTTTTAAATACCCTTTTTAAATATACTTTTTTAATATACTTTTCTATAACAATCCTACTGATATGGAATCACGTAGCTTTTTAAATATGTTTAATTGTCGTCCCTATCGGTAATAAATATTTTAAATTATTTGATATGGTTTTCTTTACAATAGGCTATGCTTGGCTTCTCGGTGCTGTAAATGGTGGCTTCGACTTTTTTTTTTTAAGAAAAATGTGTTTTATATATGCTTCTGTTTTAAAATATTTTTGTTACATATTTAACTATATATCATGTAAATAAATTTCTTTTAAAGATATGTAAACTTGATACTTGCTTTTTTACGGATTTTCAAAAAGTGAACAAAGGTTTAAATATATTTTTTAACTGTCTTATATGATTTTATCAATTTTATTAAAGCTGAATAATTACTTCAACTATATTGAGTAAAATCCAATTGCTTTTATTATTAACCTGATCTATACAAAAGTTAATGAAATAAAACTAATAATTTAACGCCAAGTTAAGGCAAAATGTATTCCGGACATTTTATAAAATTAGTATAAATATGGATTGGATGTATGCTGAAATAAATATGTTGATACACGTTAGCTATTAAAGTAAATCCATATATTCCTTTATTGTTTTTTTATAAACAAGTTTCTGCTGGATTACTAATTAAAAAAAAGTTTGGTTTAATAATAATCTTTATCATAATAATATAGGATCCGTATGCAGGGCTAAGTTCTTTTCGCAATTGCAATATATTTTTCAACTTATAGTTTTTCCATATATCTAACTTCTATGCCTACAAGTTTGGGTGTAATATTTTAGATGTTTTAAAAATATTTAAAAAGTATATTAATAATATTGAAAAGTTTAGGTGCGATAGTGACATCTTTTTAAGCTCTTCACTCAGTAAAATGAAAAGTTTCAAAAAAAAAAGAAACGACTCAGCTTAAAGCAAAACTGAGAGCAAAATATATTCCCAATATTTACCTAAACAACTTTACGGAATTTGAAAATTTGACATCGATGTTCTGTGCATATAATTCAAGTCATTTTTAACTACTACATGGTTGTGATTTGCGCATTCAATGTCTGAACATTGCAAAAGAAATGGTCATCTTTATCTTTAATGAAGCTAAAAGTTCTCTTAAACTAAGAAGCCAAGGAATATAAAAGTAAGCTCAACTAAAAAAATGTATAAATAAATTTATATTTCATTAGAGAAAGTAAATAAAGATCAAATTGTTAGTAATTTTTTATTTACTACTAACCAGTATTACGGGTTGCTTACTGTATAAATAAATTTATATTTTATTAGAGAAAGTAAATAAATATCAAATTGTTAGTAATGATTTATCTACTACTAACCCGTATTACGGGTTGCT